CTATTTCTTATTTTTATAACGTTTTTTCTGTTGTTTTGTTCGCTGACGAAGGCTTTCTGCCGACACGTTCGCTGTTTTGTTACGTTTAATTTTTCAGGTTTAACCATACTCTGTTTTACTCATTTTATTTTGTACTAACCTGATTGCAGTCTCTCCCCTTATTACCCCAAAAACAAGTCAGTTCGTTTATTTTGGGATTAAAGTTATGTGTCATTTACATGATGGACATCAAGTGTTTATTAGTGAGACGACTCCTGTATGATGTTTTGTTAATCTTCATTACAGAAAACTGCTACTCACACATGTTTGTGCTACACAACATGCTCAAGGTTCGAGCCGCATGTAGACGAAGCTTGGGCATCCTTTAAGGATGAAACGAGTGAACTGTGCAGGCCCAACTGTGTCGTACTTTGTCTTTAGTGTCCCATTACACTGCAGCGGGCCCAACTGTGTCGTACTTTGTCTTTAGTGTCCCATTACACTGCAGCGGGCCAAAATGTGTCGTACTTTGTCTTTAGTGTCCCATTACACTGCAACGGGCCCAAATGTGTCGTACTTTGTCTTTAGTGTCCCATTACACTGCAGCGGGCCCAACTGTGTCGTACTTTGTCTTTAGTGTCCCATTACACTGCAGCGGGCCAAACTGTGTCGTACTTTGTCTTTAGTGTCCCATTACACTGCAGCGGGCCCAACTGTGTCGTACTTTGTCTTTAGTGTCCCATTACACTGCAGCGGGCCCAACTGTGTCGTACTTTGTCTTTAGTGTCCCATTACACTGCAGCGGGCCCAACTGTGTCGTACTTTGTCTTTAGTGTCCCATTACACTGCAGCGGGCCCAACTGTGTCGTACTTTGTCTTTAGTGTCCCATTACACTGCAGCGGGCCCAGCTGTGTCGTACTTTGTCTTTAGTGTCCCATTACACTGAAGCTCTATTAGCGCCATCTTCAAATTACAAGTGCAGTTTCCACGTCTATGACAAATGGGTTATGAAACAGCTCGAAATTACATTTCTGTACTTCAAATTAACTAAAGCGCAAATTAAGCTAAAATTTTCATCAAAGTGGCATTGGGAAAAACTATAGCGTTTGCTTGGATATAACTGTACGCCGGTCAAGACCACGCGGGCCTTATATAATTGTACGGCGGGCGTATGTGATCCACGGGGCTTGAGTTTGACACATGTTCCCTAGATGACTTGACTATCACCCTAGTTACCCTAATTATCACCCCAGATGACCGCTTGTTTTGTTCCACTTCGCATCCCAATATTTGTCCTTAACTGCGTCAGAATAATTAGACTAAATACAATTTATAGAACTGAGTCAATTTTATCAGAGTTCCAGTATCTCATAAATTGTGTAGCAGTTGATGGTCAAATAAAAGTAAGCATTGGGTCTTTTAATCCCTTTCTTTTCGTTACAATTGGCCGACAATGTCACCAACCAATACATAGAACGTGCCATCAGAGGCTGACCGTCCCCTTTCTACATCACTGAATGAAATCATCTGGTTTTGAGGCTAGCTTCTTAGGTTTGCAAAAACATATACGAGCTAGTCGCACGTTATTAAAATACATTTTTTTTTAAAAATACAGTTTTGAAAATTTCAAATGCAAAATTCGTTTCCAATTTAAAGATGAGCACAATTAGTGCGATGATTGCAGAGATTAGATTTTTAACCTTTTAATAATTTTATTAATAATTTATTATTATTATTTTTATCTTTGTTATTTGATATGGGAGTTTCAAAAGTGATCAATGTAATCTTAAAATACAAATCAAGACACATGCCTATATTTTATTGTTCACTCCATTCATTGTATGTTATCTTATTCTAATAGTGTGGCAAGTGTTACCTATGATAAGGCAGGATGATTAAGTTCATGTTTGCTCTTAGATACAATGCTATAGGACAGTTGATCGGCAGACTGGTCGTGAGCAGAAACATGTTCGTTTGAAGATCAATCAAAATGATATCATCATTCGTGTAAATATGAGCGAACAGTTATTTAGGTTGTATTTGTATTCCCATTAGAGAAGCATTGGCAGATAGAGATATATATATGGCATTATATAGAGTCCAAGTAAACATTGAACAAACCGTCTATTCATGGACAACACATGCGCACTAGGAAATAATGTTTCACTTTTTTTTACAAAGCTTAAGTAAATATTCGAACTTGTCCATCCATGAAATAATGATCCATGTCTTATTAGAAATGATTATTTGCTTTGTTCATTTTGTTGAAACGGAGAGTGACAAAGACGTTCGCCACTTGATAAAATTGATTGAATAGTGTAATAAAAAAAAAATTATTTTAGATTAGCCATATGTAAGTTATAACTATGTTCGATCACTACAAATGTGTTTTTTTTAATACTGCTATAATTATACTGTACAAAATTAGTTCTTCTTTCATCTGATAACTGTTAGTGACAAACAATGTTGCTAAAAAATTATTTTAATGGCCACTTATTTTTAAGGAAAAAAATGGAAATAAATTAATTGTTCTATCATAACCGAACTTCAGTTCCAGGTATTTTAGCAAAACCTTTATAGCAATAACCAGTTTTTAAAAATTAACAATGCAAACATTCGATGTGTGTGCTCTTCTCTAAATGTTTGTATCGTAAGGTAACAAACATATGACGAGCTCAGTGCTATTTTATAAATTCTATCTGATCAGGCAATATTAAGGAAGCCGGTTTAATAATGAACAGGACGCGTTATTCATTCCGGTTCCAAGATTGCCAAGCACTGCTCTAGCTTTAAAAAAAATCATATTTTAGACTTTGGAGGGGCCAGTTTAGGGAAAAGGTGACTGAGAGATATTCAGTGGCCACCAGACAGCTGTGCCTAGCTTGGTGCACTTAACGAGACACAGCTTGGTGCTCTTAATGAGGCACAACATGGTGCACTTAACGGAGCACAGCTTGATGCACTTTTCATTAAACCTGTTTGGTTAATCAAGGAAAAGTTAAATCCAACTTTAGAATAAGCCATTGCAACTCTTTAAAAATCTAATGCGTATAAAGATAGAAATTTACATTTGCCCACAACAAAATGCAAGACTTCCATTAAGTCTAGTAGACACAAAACCTAGACACCGTCTTAGAAACTAAATTTTAAACATCCAAAAACTGTGAAATGTCTTCAACAATTAAATGTCACGGCGCCACTATCTTAATGGCAACTTTGGACAGCAATAACGTTGACATCTTTCTGATCAACGAAACTCTTTCTTCGGAATTTGACTTTGTGGCCAACTGCATTGAAATCCTCATCGCTGTTGCTGGTATACTCGCTAATGTCATCAACATCATGGTCTTCACCAAACAAGGGTTCAAGGACAACGTCAACCTCAGCCTCTTTTGTTTGGCCATCGCAGACTTCTGCTCACTTCTCACATTGATAGTCACGTGCGTGCTGTCCCATCCCAGATTTCTTGGCACGGGGAACAATTTTGTTGGGATCGAGGTCCAATTTTTGGTAGCTTGTTGGCCACACGTGTGCTTCACCAAAATGACCGGCTGGATCACCGCATTCATCATGTTCGAGAGATGCATGTGTGTCGCTTTACCTCTGACAGTTAAAACGGTCTTGACAAAAGCCCGCGTCCAATTTTGCCTAGTCACCATTTACGTGTGCGTGATCGCTGGAGTTATCCCCACTTACGCCACCCACAGCCTCGGTTGGAAGTTTTACCCAGGATTTAACAGAACTCTTCTTGGATTACAATTTGATGACTGGGCCATAGAAGTTACATACGTGTCCAACCTGCTCAACATCCCGGTGTCTTCCATCAGCTCATTTAGCTTAACTTTCGTGTGCACCGTTGTCATCAGTTTTCTGCTCGTTAAGAAAAGAAAATGGCGTAAAGCCAACGGTTGTCTCCCCAACAAAGCAAGTCATCAAATGTCTGGAAATGATCACCGCGCAGTTAAGATGGTCACGGTTGTGTCGGTCATCTTTCTTGTCAGTGTCACCCCATCCATCGCCATCATCATTGGCACCGTGCTATTTATAGAGTTCAGTCTCACCGGGAAATACCGGAGACTTTTTTACATGTGTTACTGTGTCAGCTTCGTACTGGAGGCGATCAACTCTAGTGTCAACATTCTGGTCTACTACAATATGAACGTTCGCTTCAGGAGCACATTGAAATGTATGTGGCCAGTCAAGATCTTTCAAAATCATCTGTAGCCCATCACGATATCCAGGCGTATAATGATAGTAAATTTAAAACAATTAAATGCAACCCTTTACACATAATATTTAGAGATATAGAGCATGGGTTCAGCCTAAGCAATTAACCTGAGTCTCACGGCAACTGGAGCCTCAATTTTACTCAGTAAAAGTCAAAGAATTAAGAAAAGGCCATAAGTCAAAAATATTCTTTTTTCAAAAGAAAATTAAAATATAGTTAAATATGATATACTGTTGTTATATGATATAAAGTTGTTTATACAGTAACAATGAGAGTGACAATGTGAGTGACAATGTGAGTGACCATGTGAGTGACAATGTGAGCGACAAAGTTTGTGACAATGTGAGTGACAATGTGAGTGACCATTTGAGTGACAATGTCAGCGACAAAGTTTCTGACAATGTGAGTGACAAAGTTTGTGACAATGTGAGCGACAAAGTTTGTGACAATGTGAGTGACCATGTGAGTGACAATGTGAGTCACAATGTGAGTGACCATGTGAGTGACAATGTTAGAGACAAAGTTTTTGACAATGTGAGTGACCATGTGAGTGACCATGTGAGTGACAATGTGAGTGACCATGTGAGTGACAATGTGAACGACAAAGTTTGTGACAATGTGAGTGACCATGTGAGTGACAATGTGAGTGATAGTGTGAGTGACAATGTGAGTCACAATGTAAGTGACCATGTGAGTGACAATGTGAGCGACAAAGTTTGTGACAATGTGAGTGACAATGTGAGTGACCATTTGAGTGACAATGTGAGCGACAAAGTTTGTGACAATGTGAGTGACAAAGTTTGTGACAATGTGAGTGACAAAGTTTGTGACAATGTAAGTGACACAGTTTGTGACAATGTGAGCGACAAAGTTTGTGACAGTGTGAGTGACAATGTGAGTGACAATGTGTGTGACAATGTGAGTGACAATGTTAGTGACAATGTGAGTGACAATGTTAGTGACAGTGTGAGTGACCATGTGATTGACAGTGTGAGTGACCATGTGAGTGACAGTGTGAGTGACAATGTGAGTGAGCATGTGAGTGACCATGTGCGTTACAATTTGAGTGACAATGTGAGTGACAATGTGAGTGACAGTGTGAGTAATAATGTTAGTGACAGTGTGAGTGACAATGTGAGTGACAATGTGAGTGAGAATGTGAGTGACAATGTGAGTGACAATGTGAGTGACAATGTGAGTGACAATGTGAGTGACAATGTGAGTGACAATGTGAGTGACAATGTGAGTGACAATGTGAGTGACAATAATAATAATAATAATATTGACAATGTGAGTGACAATGTGAGTGACAATGTGAGTGACAATGTGAGTGACAATGTGAGTGACAATGTGAGTGACAATGTGAGTGACAATGTGAGTGACAATGTGAGTGACAATGTGAGTGACAATGTGAGTGACAATAATAATAATAATAATAATAAGTGGTCTTATATAGCGCGGTACCCCAGCCTAGGGCTGGGCTCACGACGCTGTAAATAAATATAGCAAAGAGGCATAATCATAATATTAAAATAAAATACATAAATGAAATAAAAACAACATGTAAGCAAAACAACACCAGAGGTATATTCACCAACCCACACCAGAAGTTTTACAAGGAAACCCATGTACGTTTATCGGTTTATAGGAGGGGAATCAGTCAGGGTAGTATAGTTTAAATAGATGTGTTTTGAGTGCAGTTTTGAAGGCCTGTGTGGTTGTTATATTGCGGATGTGTAGTGGCAAAGAATTCCATTGTTTGGGGGCGCAGAAAGAGAAAGATGTGAGTGGCAATGTGAGTGTCAATGTTAGTGACAGTGTGATGGACTGTGTGAGTGACTGTGTGAGTTACAATGTGAGTGACAATGTGAGTGTCAATGTGAGTGACAATGTGAGTGACAATGTGAGTGACAATGTGAGTGACAATGTGAGTGACAATTTGAGTGACAATGTGAGTGACAATGTGAGTGACAATGTGAGTGGCAATGTGAGTGACAGTGTGAATGACAATATGAGTGACAGTGTGATAGACAATGTGAGTGGCAATGTGAGTGACAATGAGATGGTCCAAAAGATGGAACAAACACCGTCTAGATGACTTTCTCAAAGGATCGCTTTGTTGATGTTTACTTTTATGGGGTTGGGATGTGCTTTCTAACTCGCGTCCATTTCAAACTTGTGGACTTGCTTTCAATCCCAAGAAACAGCCTAGAGAAGCAAAGAACATCCCCAGATCCAATGGTGGAAGAGACTCGCTAACTTTGGATTGCATCTCGTCAAAGAGAAGCAAAACTCTGAATTTAAACCTAGGGATGGGGCCCGTAGGCGGTATGACAGTAACTGAGAGAACATTCCGTCAAGTCCGGTGACGCTACAGATGCCAAGCTGTATCCACCTCACTCGGGGTTCCCTTGGGATAACCAAATGAGTTGAGAGAGTTGATTTGCTAGCTAGAGAGCAAGCTTATCTTCCTAAAGAAAAATCCAAGGTCTTGTGATTTCGTCATGCGATGTCTACGTGATTGTCCCATTTTGACGGACGGATGCCATGCGATGTCTACATGATTGTCCCATTTTGATGGACGGATGCCATTCGATGTCTACACGATTGTTCCATTTTGATGGACGGATGACATGCGATGTCTACACGATTGTTCCATTTTGACGGACGGATGACATGCGATGTCTACACGATTGTTCCATTTTGATGGACGGATGACATGCGATGTCTACACGATTGTTCCATTTTGATGGACGGATGCCATGCGATGTCTACACGATTGTTCCATTTTGACGGACGGATGCCATGCGATGTCTACACGATTGTTCCATTTTGATGGACGGATGACATGCGATGTTTACATGATTGTCCTATTTTGATGGACGGATGCCAAGCGATGTCTACAGGATTGTCCCATTTTTATGGACGGATGACATGCGATGTCTACATGATTGTCACATTTTGATGGACGGATGCCAAGCGATGTTTACATGATTGTCCCATTTTGATTTGACGGATGACATTCGATGTCTACATGATTGTCCCATTTTGATGGACGGATGCCAAGCGATGTCTACATGATTGTCCCATTTTGATGGACGGATGCCAAGCGATGTCTACATGATTGTCCCATTTTGATGGACGGATGCCAAGCGATGTCTACATGATTGTCCCATTTTGATGGACGGATGCCAAGCGATGTCTACATGATTGTCCCATTTTGATGGACGGATGCCAAGCGATGTCTACATGATTGTCCCATTTTGATGGACGGATGCCAAGCGATGGCTACATGATTGTCCCATTTTGATGGACGGATGCCAAGCGATGTCTACATGATTGTCCCATTTTGCTGGACGGATGCCAAGCGATGTCTACATGATTGTCCCATTTTGATGGACGGATGCCAAGCGATGTCTACATGATTGTCCCATTTTGATGGACGGATGCCAAGCGATGTCTACATGCTTGTCCCATTTTGATGGACGGATGCCAAGCGATGTCTACATGATTGTCCCATTTTGATGGACGGATGCCAAGCGATGTCTACATGATTGTCCCATTTTGATGGACGGATGACATGCGATGTTTACACGATTGTCCCATTTTGATGGACGGATGCCAAGCGATGTCTACATGATTGTCCCATTTTGATGGACGGATGACATGCGATGTCTACATGATTGTTCCATTTTGATGGACGGATGACATGCGATGTCTACATGATTGTCCCATTTTGATGGACGGATGACATGCGATGTCTACACGATTGTCCCATTTTGATGGACGGATGCCAAGCGATGTCTACACGATTTTCCCATTTTGATGGACGGATGCCAAGCGATGTCTACATGATTATCCCATTTTGATGGACGGATGCCAAGCGATGCCTACATGATTGTCCCATTTTGATGGACGGATGCCAAGCGATGTCTACACGATTGTCCCATTTTGATGGTGTCTACACGATTGTCCCATTTTGATGGACGGATGCCAAGCGATGTCTACATGATTGTCCCATTTTGATGGACGGATGCCAAGCGATGTTTACACGATTGTCCCATTTTGATGGACGGATGACATGCGATGTCTACATGATTGTCCCATTTTGATGGACGGATGCCAAGCGATGTCTACATGATTGTCCCATTTTGATGGACGGATGCCAAGCGATGTTTACATGATTGTCCCATTTTGATGGACGGATGACATGCGATGTCTACATGATTGTCCCATTTTGATGGACGGATGTCAAGCGATGTTTACATGATTGTCCCATTTTGATGGACGGATGACATGCGATGTCTACATGATTGTCCCATTTTGATGGACGGATGCCAAGCGATGTCTACATGATTGTCCCATTTTGATGGACGGATGCCAAGCGATGTCTACACGATTGTCCCATTTTGATGGACGGATGACATGCGATGTCTACATGATTGTCCCATTTTGATGGACGGATGACATGCGATGTCTACATGATTGTCCCATTTATGATGGACGGATGACATGCGATGTCTACACGATTGTCCCATTTTGATGGACGGATGACATGCGATGTCTACATGATTGTCCCATTTTGATGGACGGATGCCAATCGATGTTTACATGATTGTCCCATTTATGGACGGATGACAAGCGATGTCTACATGATTGTCCCATTTTGATGGACGGATGCCAAGCGATGTTTACATGATTGTCCCATTTTGATTTGACGGATGACATTCGATGTCTACATGATTGTCCCATTTTGATGGACGGATTCCAAAAGAAAAAAATAATTCTGAGTAAAGGTGTTTGGATCCAGATATATTTTTTTTTATTTTAAATGTTAAGATTTGATATATTTAAATATTAGCTTCACAGACGAGAGGGATCTCCACCAAGCGGATATGACGTTCGTGAACGGAAAACTAACTTGATAGCGACTTCGTTTGAC